AAACCATTTCTAGCAATCCCCAGTTCATACAGTGAAAAATGTATAGTTATCCAAAAGCTGCTTCCTCTGGTCTATGTTGAAAACCCTGAAGGAAATTTGTTTATCTGCACCACCTGGATTTAAAAATCTTGATTTTATTCAGCCTAGAAAAAAGTTAGAGCCATCCTCAACAGGCCTTGGTCTTGTTTCTGTACTCATGTGGCAGGTGGGATGATCTCTTGCTCTCTGTGTCTCCCTACAAAGTCAAAGGGGCTGCGTGATAACATTTATTTCTCTACTTTCATTACCTATACCTGTGCTCACAATGTGAAGTGAAGCACCTCCTGCTGATCTCCCCAGCCATCAGAACTGTGCTGCTGCAATGCCACCACCCATGCAGAGAAGGGCACTTCCCCTGCTCTCCCCAGGACACAGAGATTCCAGGGACACATTTGTGCCTCTGCGGTCCTTTGTGCTCTCTGCTCCAGGTCTTCACTGTAAAAACCCCACAGGTCATCTTAAATTCACTGTGGTTTTAGCAGGTACAAATACTCCATGAAATTTAAAGTCCTTGCAGGAGCATCCAGCACTATAATATAAATTTAATTACAGAGCTATTAGGAATAATTTGCATAACAATTAGCAATTAAACGAGTCACCAAATCCAAGTCGCTTCTCTTGAAGCAGTTTTTATGCAACTGAACGTTGTGAAAACAGCAGGGTTTCTCTTGATTTGGCATTAGAAACAGTGTGCTTTTTGAAATAACAAGGTGATTAAAAATAACTGTGGGTGTTTATGCAGTGCTCTGCTGTCACAGAGACCTGCCCCACGCTGGTGGCAGCGCTGCTGGACAGAGGGACAGAGAACTCCAGCTCCAGGAGGTCTGAGCAGCACAGCTCAGAGCCAGGAGGCAGCAGTGATCTGCTTGATCTGCTGCAGTCTCACCATTTCCTTTGTGCTGTGAATCTTTGCATCTAACCTGCAGCTCACAGACACCAGCAACTGTTTGGGAATGAGAGAAACAAGAAGGAGATGTCTTTACAAACAAACTGTGAGCCTCGTGGTACATAAGGCCAGATACAGAGAGGTGAAAGAAGCAATGGGGGTAACCATAAATTCCATAGGAATTCCACTAATTGACACAGACTCATTCAAGATTGTGCTGCATCTCTGGATTTAGAGAAAAAGAACAGAGACACGAGGAAAAAGGAAAACAGGGAGGTATACATTAGAAGGGGGTATTAGGGAATTCTGGGAAGTCTGTACCTATCAAGTACCTCAGGCAATGGGGAAGGAGAAAAGAAGATGTGACCAGGAAATTAGGATAAAAAGGAGGCTGCATCCTCTAAAAATTTTGAGATACCCCAGGGGAAATGCCCCATAGTCTCTCCCTTTTTTCAACTAAATTTACAGGACTACTCTGTCTCCTTTTTGGACGTAAACTTCTGACGTTTGTAGATTAACTCTCCTGACAGGAATGAGCTTTTGTGAGCCTCCTCTTGTTACATTGTGCACTTTACTGCAACAGAACAGAGCTCATAATGAATCAAAGTCAATTGCTTCTCCAAAAGTACCTGGCATTATGGCATTCAGCCATGTGTTAGGCAAGAACTTTACACTGTCTTAAATAAGGACTCACAAAGCTTATTATAAAATAAATAAGTAAAAAAAAAAAAAAAAAAAAAAACACAAAAACTTTCAGGTATTTTTATCTGTTTACTTTTGCTTCTTTGTGATATATGAAAGCAGCCTGGAAAGTTAACTCTGCTTCTGTATTAACTGTTTGACTTGCATCTGTACACCAGAAATACCAGATTTTAGCTTCCACATTTTTACTGAGGGAGCCAGGGAGAACTGGAGGATCTTTGGGAATCAGCCAAAGAAACAAGGTGATAAAATGAATGTCTAGTCTGCAGGAACATTTCACTTGCAAGGGGTAAATGAGTAAAAGGTTCAGCAAGTTTTTAACAGTGCTCAGGCTTGGCTACAGGGGCCATGGACCAGCAGGACAGCTTTGCTGTCCCTGGCAGCATTAACAGCTGTGGCTGTGACAGCAAAAATGTTCGGCAATGACCTTTTTAGAGAAGTACATTTTAAAAAACCTGTCTTTATCCACAACTAATACATGGATTAGCAGAATTAATTTAGTTGTAGGCAGCCTGCTCAGGAAAAACAGCTCCTTTGACCTGCACTAGATCTATCATATTTCGAAAAGCAAATAATTTGGATTACATTATCTCAGAAAATGTCTTGAAATTGCTTAAAGGAAGAACACAACTTTCTTCCTAACCACTGATCCCTCTAACCCTTGCCCTCCCCATTCAATTAGCTACATCTAAGTTTATATCCTGTATTATTTCTCCAGCATAAGCGAAGACCCCTTCCAAAATGATCAGGGTTTCCCAGAACTCCTGCAGCACTGTGCAGGTGGAACACGAGGGGGCTTGGGAAAAATCAAAGCTGTGGAGATGTAAAATATGGACACCTGCTGTAAGCCAGTGACTCAGTGGCTGCCCTGTGGCTGGTGTGTGCACCGAGGATGGGCTTTCAGCAGTTCAGCTGAGCAGATGCTGCCGGACAGCAAAGGAGAGAGGGCTCTGTGAGACTCCAAAGCTGCTGGGGGATTTTTACTGGGCCCTCAAAAGTTGCACAGCACCTGCTCCATTTATGTGCACACACTGCTTTTCTTTGACTTCTATGGGTAGTGGCGAGAGGGACCAATCTGATTTCTGTGTATGCCCGATGTGTGTTCTATTCTCATGGGGGCTGTACAGCCTATTCTCTATTCTCATGGGGGCTGGCAGCCCTGTCCCCGGGCAGTTCCTCCTCAGGCCAGGGAAGCCTCCAGGGCCGGGCTGTGAGTGACCCTCGCTGGCCCGGCGGCCCGTAGAGAACGCACGGGAAATCAAGGTGCGGCAGGAACCTTGGCACGTAAAAGCAGTAACTGCGGCACACAGGAGCCATCTGTGCTTTGGGTTTCTGGAGGGATCAGGGGCTCACTTGGAGGGTCATCCTGGTCCTTCTCCCCCCTCCCGCCTTTTCTTCCCTGTGGTCCTGCTTCCCTGCCCGTCCCTGCTCTGCCCGGCTTCACCGTGCCCGCGACCCATCTCAGCACCGGCACGAACTCGGGCTGCGCTGCCTGCCCGACGGAGCGGGCACCGTGCAGCCAGCCTGTCCCACCGTGCCATCAGGTACAGCCTGTCCCGCCGTGCCACCAGGTACAGCCTGTCCCGCCGTGCCACCGGGCACAGCCAGCCTGTCCCGCCGTGCCACCGGGAAGAGCCTGTCCCGCCGTGCCACCGGGCACAGCCAGCCCCACCGTGCCACCGGGCACAGCCAGCCCCGCCGTGCCACCGGGCACAGCCAGCCCCACCGTGCCACCGGGCACAGCCAGCCCCACCGTGCCACGGGGCACAGCCAGCCCCATCGTGCCACCGGGCACGGCCAGCCCCACCGTGCCACCGGGCACAGCCAGCCCCGCCGTGCCACGGGGCACAGCCAGCCCCACCGTGCTACCGGGCACAGCCAGCCCCACCGTGCCACCGGGCACAGCCTGTCCCGCCGTGCCACCGGGCACAGCCGCCCTGCTGCCAGCCCGCACCCAGCCCAGCCCGCAGCCGCCGCCGTGGCCCGCAGCCCGAGCCCGCCCGTTCCTG